CAAGCATTTTTCTCTGTCCTGTAACGACCTGATCTGGAATAAACTCTTGTTACTTTTTTACTCCTGTTTTTATTGTCCTTTTTACATGGTTTTACCCAGTTTGAGTTAAGAGTAGTAAATAACTTGCTCCCAGGAAAAGAACCGTGAGGAAGCCCCGAGGCGCAACAGCCTTTTTTAGGGGGCATAACTTCCTCATTTAACACACCCAAGGACTCAACAAAACTGAAAGCCAGAGCTTGCAGGGCAAAAGCCTGGCTTGCAGGGCAAACTCATGCACACAATGCCACTGTCACAAAGTTTAAGCATTTTAAAAATCGAAAGTCTAATTACAACAACAACAAAAAAATATATCTGTATTGATCAAAAGAAAGCACAACTTTACCTCAGGTTTTTCATGCATACAACATCTCTCTCTTTTAAGTAGATTCCCCTCCTTTAGTGTGGTTTTCTACTACCGGGTACAGATCCTGCTAACTGGCACAAACTCCCATCACCCTCTCCCCTTCTCTGGGGTTACTTTCACAAACTGGCCAAAACATGTCGAAACAAGAGCTCCTTTATTTCATCCAGCTCTATGGCATCCAACAACAACAACAGAAGGCATCTTAAATGCATTCGATGTAATTCAATAATCAGTACGTCTTCTTTTGAAAGTAGAGCAAACAAAAAGTAAAGCTGCTAGACAGACAATTCCTCCTTTAGGTTTCAATACACTTTTAGTTTTAAGGTAAAGAAAAATACCCTTTAGAAACTAGAATTGAAGAGACATAATTCGAAACAAACAAATGAGGTTTGAAAAAAATGAGTGAATTTCAGAGAGAATGGATCTAAAGAAATCCTGAAATATATTATTAAGGAAGATTTCTATAGCTTTCCCCGACAGTAACCACTTTGCATAATTCAGCCCATAATTAGAGAGAGATAAAAAAAATAAAAGGTGGAAGCTTACCTTTTCTAGTCTGACAAGAACCCAACAAACTTTGGTCAGAGAGTTAAACTTTGACCCAAACACTGTTTGCACAGCTAAAAACCATCAACCAGATCTCAACTGTCTGAGCAGCTTCAGGGCAAAAGACCACAATCACTGTTTGATATGGAAAAAAGGAGAAACGGAGAAACAAATAGGAAGAACTTAGCATACATGTTTGAGTAGGATATGTCCATATCATGTTTAGATTGAAATATTATTATAAATAATTTTTACTAAGTTTATTTCTGAATGTAAATAAGAGAAGCATTTCCTAAAATATAGTAAAATTATAGAATAATAATTTCAAAATAAAAAGAGGAAAAATCAGAGTTAATATCTGTTCAGGCTTTGTTTTTTACTTTCTTTCTACTTTCCTGGGTTATCCACCACGCTTGGCATAGCTATGAAGAGTGCTTTGAAGCATTTGTGCATTGCAAGTACAAATCTTAAGTTTGAGAGAGAAATAAAACAGTTTTTTAAGTGTAGAAGAATTACTGGGGGAGTGTTGGCCTAGTGGTTAGAGTGGTGTCCTGAGAAGGCTGCACTTATCCGGTTCAATCCGCACAGGGTCCACTCTGGGGAATTACACATCCCAGATGAGGTGGCCGAGTGGTTAAGGCGATGGACTGCTAATCCATTGTGCTCTGCACGCGTGGGTTCGAATCCCATCCTCGTCGTACTCTGAGTATTTTTGGAGCAAGTGGAAGCTTAGTGATTAGGACATAGCGTTTCGAAGACTGAGGTTCTGAGTTCGAGCCAAATTCCCGCAGACTGCCATGCTGAGTCTCTGAGCAAGACCCTTGACCCTTCACCTCCCCCACGATGACAGCGGTAGAGGTAAATTAACAATGTGAGATCCATAAAGGTCAAAGATATATTCTATTTAATTCCCAAGCCAGCTGGGAATTTATTTTTCTGATACTTTAAGATGTGCAAAGCCCTATCTTATTTAATCAGATATTATTTCAGCTGTAATATATTGTCTATGAACACATACCCTACTAGATGTGTGTTAGAACAATAAATGAAAGAGTGACTCGAACACTAATCATGGTCAAACAGTTAATTCTGCACATACTAAATTCACCACAACTTCTGTTCAAAACATAAGAGTTTATTAACAAAAATCATTAAACTCCAAGTCAAACATAAACTACTTTGTACAAAGAGGAAGGGGGAACATGTTTGAAAACCATAGTACAGTTTAAGATGGATCTTGTGTTGAAAACCAAAGTTTATCTGGAGGAATTTGGGATATGATCAAATTAGCTTTTCACTAATTTAAAGCAATTGGAATGTTTCCAGACCAATTCACAATGCAAATCCATGAGGTCAATAAAACATTATTTGGCCAAATAATGTTTTATTAAATGATTTGCTTAATCAAGAACCAATAACCTTAAGTCAAATGATTCCTTACCCTCTTTGAAATAGCTAGCAGCGAATAGACATCAGGATTCCACTAAATGACTCTTGGTCATACTTGGTAATGGAAATGTAATGAGCAGATGAGGAACACGTAAACACTAATGTTATACTAGTGTTTAAAGCTTTATTAAATTAAGCTTGTCCAAGCTTCAAATAACAACTCAACACATTTTACTATAGCGTAGCGTGCAGTCCATCCTGTAAGCTTCGTGTTTACTCATCAGTAAACACATGAAATGATTAACATCATCAAAAGACATATTGTTTGTTCTGTCCCTAATTAAGCCAGACCTGCAAACCTTTTTGTACATGTCCATTGGTAGCCTTGAGTTTCTATCAAGCAGGGATAAGCAGGCATGCTAAACAGCAAGACAGGCTCTCTCTGTCTCAGTGGCCCAGAGCAGGGGTCCTGTTTGTCTCAGTGGCTGACATAAAGGCAGGCTTTCTCGTTCAGTTGCAAATGGTCTGTTTTGCAGCAGTTTGGTTCTGAAAGGTTTTGACTTATACTGATTTATACTTCGAAACTAGGTCGTCTGTGTAGGGATCGCAGTGAACAAAAAGACGTCCCCGCCCCCTCTGCAGACACTCCGCTGCATCTCTCCTAAATTGTAGCTGACCTCAGACAGTGCCGTAGACAGGAGGTCGACTTGTTTTGTTTTTATGAATGAAATTGCGGAAAACAACTCGTGAAGTTGGACCAGCTAGCAGAGCGAGGTGTGCGAGAATGCTGGGACCCTTTTTCCACCTGGATCCCTGTTATTTTTTGCCATCATGTCCCTCTGTTGACAGACAAACTCTCCCCCACTTCCTCACTGGCTCGGCCGTATCTAGACCCACAGCATATAGCGCAGACCATGCTTCAATACTGGGCATAAATCAAAAAAGTGCCTGCATCAAGCTCACTGCGACACATTGCTGCAGGAGAATAACCAGCCTTTATCCTTGATGATTCTTGAGATCTGGGTCCCTATGGGCCTTGGATCTCCATTTCGCTGGAGATCCTGTAGAAGTGGACCCCAGCTTCATGGGCAAGAGAGGAGGCAAAAAGAGCAGGAGATCCGGTTTGTTCTGTGGTTTTGTCTTTCCTCAACACAGAGGGGGGTGGTTGGTCACACCTCTGTGGGAGTTCGTGTGACTGCTTTTGGAGGCCTTGGCTGAAAGGGGAGGGGGTTACAGAGATCTTACTGCTGGTTATTCACCAACTGTATTCCCTTCTCTGGTCATCATTTTAAGATGAAACATGGATACTGGTTCCCAATGTCCAAAAAGCATGATCATGGCATATGGCACAACAAAATTATTATGACAAAACTTTTTTTGTAACAATTTTTTTTTGTAACTTTCACAGTTCTCTAAGGCATAAAAAACTTTTACATATTGGGCCGGATCTATCAAAGGTTTGCGTGTATTAAAACGTGAGCTATTTCACTGCGCACGCTAAAAAAATGTACAAACTGATCTATCAACAGCGTGCTAAAAGGATTTGGTCTTTAAAATGTGCTAAATAGCGCCTCTTGTCCATTTAGTACTTTTTCTGCAATGAATATGCAATGTGGGGCGTTTACACGCAAAAGTGCGTCTTGTGGGAGGAGAACATGTAAATATATTAATTTAGCACTCGCAAAGTGATTTATCAAACCTGAAAGCAATTTTGCTAACGGTATCTGACTCTATATTTAACACGTTTCAAAAGAAGGTGCAAATGGTCTGTATGCGTAATTGCGCACACATGGCAGCGGTTATTGCCGCAAGAAGGAGACATGGAAATGAAGCAAGGAGACGCAGAGAACGCATTTTTTCACTCCGTGTGAATATTTTTGGAATGAAAACGATCATCAAAACATTTCGTTTATCCAGCATTGCCATTTTGGAGCTGCAATTCCAGTGATTTGCTCCTCACAGAGCGTCAGCTGTACTTGTTCCTCAATGCTGGTCAGAGGCATCTCATCTACTGTGCCCCCTCCTGCTTTGTTCGCAGATGTTTTGTTATATGCCAGTTTTTCTTTGGTTCGCCTTCTAATATCCTGGTATCTTCTTTTTACTTCATCCACTGTTCGCAAGGTTTCACCAACAGCGTTTACTTTATTACAGATTTGTTCACATATAGCGTTCCTCTGTGTGACAGTCACACTTTTTTGCTGTAGTTCACTTAAATGTTTGTTGGCTTCATCCACCAATACCTCCATTTCCATGGGGTCGAATTTCCTTTTGCGCTTTCTGCTGTCCAAACTCGCCATGCCGCAAACCACCAAACGCGCAAAACCATAATTTAAATAGGGCGTCTCCAACAGTTTTGCACCTGCCACCAGTTACGCAATCGCTCTTGTTAAATCACCCGCAAACCATGGTTCAGCCCCTCGCGCAAAATTCCAGTTTGCAAGCGCAAATTACTGCACGCAAAATTGGATCTTGATAAATCCAGCCCTTTCTGTTTTGTTCCAATTGATCCAAAACGGTGCTTTCAAAACTATTTGTGCATTGTGACTTTGGAGTTTTGTAATTGTAGTGTTTTCCTATCTTTCAAAATTACACCAAAAAAAACAAAAAAAAAACAATAGAAAATTGTTATCTCTACGAAAGCTAGTATTGATGATTATTATTTTATTGATTCAAAAATTGACAGTATTAAAAGAGCAAACAAGCAAGAGTACAGGATTAACAAAAACATTATAAGGAGATATAAAAATATAATAGGAATATAATAAGTGTAAGCTGAAAAAAGAAAATGAACAAAATAAATCAACTCTACAAAACAAGAACATTGTTTATTAGTATTAAATGTGTTAAGACTGATAGCATCAATTACACAAAACAGATTAAAAAAAAATTGGCAATAGACAGTTTAATAGCGGTGGCTCAGATTTGAAGTTAATGTCAAATTTCTTTAAATTTCTTTAAAATTTTTATTTTTTTTTTTAATTAAAGGAACTGAAAGAAATACATTTTATTTTATTTTTGTATTCTCAATTCTATCTCAAACAGTATGTTTAATAAACCCTAAACCGTAATATATTTTTTTACTTTTTATTATGTGAAAAATGCATAAAAATGTGTTTTCTTTTGGCTCTCTTTTATGAAAATTCCACAAAATGAGAAAAAGAAAAAACAAAATAAACACCAAAACATCACACGTTTGAGGTCTTATAAAACTTAAATAATAAAAAGCATTGGTATTGGTGATACTTTCCCTGTATCTACTTGGCATCAGATCAATATCCTAAATTCCCAGTATGGCACACCTCTACCACAAAGCCTGACCATCATCTTAATCTCTTTCATCTTAATCTTTATCATCTTCTGTAGATTGCCTCTTTGAATCAAGCTGGGATTAAAATATTGATAATAATGATGGAAAATAACTTGTTACTATAGCAGCTGAATCCCTTCAGTGTGAGAGTTGAACTCCAGGGTTGAGCACATCTGATGGGGTTCAGTCAGTTGAACCATTGTTTTCTTTACTGTCATAATACTGTCTTGAAATGTCATGTCACTGATAATTTGGACCGAATTAAGCAAATAATATTTTACTTGGTCTGTTTTTGAAATATTGTTTTCATTTCTGGCCTCATCATCTTCCAGCTCTGGGCCTTCCAGTAACTCCTCCTGGAACCAGTCTGGGTGCTCAGATTGATACCTACGGAAAGCCTCTATAGCATCTCTAAGGGCCCTTCCTGAGGGGCACTCGTGGTATGTGTCCTCCGAGAGTCCATCGATTCGCTTCACACGGCCTGGTTCATGTTTTTCTGTGTTCAGGATTCGGAAGAACACCTCCTCAAACTGTTTCATCAGCTTGTAGCGAACTGTAATCTTGAAAGGCAAAGGAATATCTTCCTCAGAACAAACATCATCAAAATAAGCAACAATATACTTTTCAAATGATGCAGCCCGGATAAAATGAGGCACCAAGAGAGTGAGGGAAGGCGTGAGCGTGTCACCAACAGGCGAGAGGGCATCTTCTTTTAAAAAAACCTGCTGGCCTCCACACATAGCTCTCCATTTAACCTGTACTCCTTGGGAGCAAAGAATTAATATCTTATCTGAAGAGCTCTCTATTCGCTCCTTGTGCCACTCGAGCCACTGGATGCTCCCCAGTACTCCCAATCTGGTTAAATCCAGCAGGTCCAGAATCACATCTGTGCCACATTTGGCAGCAAGGAAGGCAGAAAACTTCAGAACAATGTTCTTATATAACAGGTGGTCGAGGGAGTAAAGGATCAGGACACGTTTTCTCTCTTGGACCTGAAAAATCTCTGGCTGTTGATTGTCAGCAGACGTAGGTGTAGTTTGAGATCCTGGGATAAAAACAAAGTCACCATTTATTATTATCGTTAAAAGCTGTTCTTATTAGGCTGGTGAATTTAAAAGAAAGCTAACCTTCATGAGATGCTTTGTGCAGTAGGTAAACAAGAAAGCAAACGAAGATCAGCAGCAGTCCAATAGATATCTGAAAAGACCAGCTGCGTTCCTGCGCTGAAATATTAAGAAAGAAAATCAAAAGTAGAGAGAAAGACATCATTTTGGAATTGGAAAGTTATGCGACTTACTTTGCCACAGTCGAACACTTTTCCTCACAGTTTTACAGTTTGTCTTGCAGCGAATAAAAACTGGCTGGATCTATTAAATAAACGATAAACAGTTATAGAAGCTCTTATCTTGTTTTCTTAACTGGAAATTGTACTTTATAAACATGCAGCTTGTTGAAATGCGTCTCACCATAATTATTGTTTCTCCTGGTGATAAATCACAAATCAACGTCACATTCAGAAATGTTCTGTTTTCCTGTTGATTTAAAGAACAGAATATAGTAGCTTCTCTCCTCAAAAAGAAATGATTTAGGAGTTTTTACCCCAGTCATTTACAGTCACAGATGATATTCTTACAGGCGCATCTCAAGCAAATTGAAGTGAACTTATTTTCACTTATTTGAGAGAGAAAAGCTTGTACAATGAACGACATAAATACTAGAGCAATAAAACAAAATATATACTAACTATTTCATGCAGTTTTAGCAACAAATTAAGTAATGGTTAAACAAATAAAGAGACAAAGGAGATTAGTATTGACACACCGAATGATTTGGATAAAAACAAAACAAACAAGAACTGTGTTGGTATTCAGAGAGCTTTCCTGCTGGTGTGTTCAAACTAATAAAACACAACGGACTAAACAACTGTAGGTCACCATTCCTGACTGTGGAAGCTTCTCACTCAAATTTAGGCTAATTTGATTTGGTTAAGGCTAACTCCTCAAACTCCTGGTCTCAAAGGAAAAGCAAAATATGGAGACTAGGGGGAAGTTCAACTGAAGAAACTCATTCCTTTCCTACATCCACCTGCGGCACAGCCAATTAGCTCTAAACCACACCTCAACGAAAGCCAATCGGCATCCAGGTTCATCTTAAAAGGCCTCCGATATGCACTTGTCTGCTCCTGTGTGACACCGTTTTAACCCACCTCCAGCTCCTCCTCTACCATCGTAGCTAAAGCTTCATTAGAGTTTCATTCTCCCGGACTCTTACTGCGTTCCCTGTCTCATCTTAACCGGTCTGGCAGAAGACCGCCATGTTGAGCCCAATTCTGCCAGAGGTTTCTTCCCAACGGTGAGTTTTTCCTCTCCACTGTCGCTTTATACTTTCTTATCATGGACAGGTTCTCTCAACCTGTGTTATCCGAACTGGACTTCCATCTTCCAGGTCCCTGATTGAAGCTCTAGTATCAGCTCACGCAGTCCACTGGATCTCCCCATAAACCCCAGTTTCAGGCCGGGGGGGTGGGGGGACAGCCCTATTCTTTGATTCTGTTCATGCATATCTATCAAAATTAAGCTCCATGTTTCCTGCCGAGGTCTGAGCACCAAAGACAAAGTAATTGTATCAATAAATTTCTCCTAATTGTCTTTTCTCTTAATGTTTGTTTTTCAGATTGAATTAGCTTTATTTGAAAAGAGGGCTTTCTCCCACTGACTATTGACACATGTGTCACGTAACTTAAGGATGCAGGTTTGTAGGGTGTATGGTCACCTTTTTTTAAAGTTCTTTATTAAAATTCATTTTCTAATAAAATGTCACCTATTTCATATCATCATATAACATTTGAGACATCATCACATAACTCTGTCTGTAAAGAGACTTTAAAATTACATTTTAATTCCTGGATAACAGAAACACATTTCAGATGATGTAGCATGATTTGAGATGCATCTCTATACCTTGGACACCCACTCAGAACAATTCCGATTGCCACTCTGGATGAGAACTCGGTATCTCTCTGAATACTCCGATGAGTTAAATCCCACAAAAACCATATTTTTATTCTCAGAGGCAACAGCCGTTATTTTGGGATCCCACAGACTACCTAAGTTATCCAAAGACAAACAGAAGCAGCTTGTGTTTAGGTCCTTAATCTACTTTGTTAGGCATAAAAACAGGATAAACAAATTATTTACCGTTCTCCTGACACAGCTGGGCCTCTTTGATTCTCTTGTCTTCACATCCTGGCCGGTTTATAAATAATAAAAAAAGATTATATCTGATATTTATTACTATTATTACAAATAGACTTATTTCATAACACATTTTAAATGAAAAAAAAAAAAACATAAATAAAGTAGCTGGACAAAAAAGTATTAAGCAGTAATCCTAATGCAATAATTTCATGCATTAACTGTATTTCAGTAAAATATGTTCAGATTAAATGTAAATTACTGTTCTAAAGTTGTCTCTTTTACAATGAAAAAACAGTTGCAGGGCTACAGATTTGAAATAATTGCGATTATAGTTGGAATCTGAAGGTTTTTACCTGGTACGGTAATGTTTCCTGTGATCCTATGATGTCCCTTCTCAGATTCAGGAAAATTAAACACTTCTAAGGTGTATGTATGCTCAGGCTCTACAACAACATCCAAGGAGAAGTTCCACTTTGGAAAAAAAATAAAACAATGTTATGTATATGGATAAAAAAAAAGAATATGTAACATTCAATTCTGTTTAATTCAGCTTAGCTAAATAATGCACATTCACATCAAATGTAATTCTAATCCAATTTACAAGATGTTTGTGTGATATGTAAAAATATTTTTATCAGCTATGATACTAAGATTTCCAAAAGACAGAAACGAAAGCAGACAATCAATCCATCAGCAGAAAGCAAGCTGCGATTTGATGCCATACAGAAGCTTGAATGTTGTAAGCCATAAAAGTTTATATGATTGTAACATACCAACGATTTTACCCCACATTTCATTTTGACTTCATGCTACAGTACGAGTTAGAGTAGCACATACTTGTCCAACCCAGTCTCATGGGAAAATGTACCCCCACTACCTTGGTCCACACTGCAAAACGTAGTGGAGGTACATTAATGGGCATTTTTTTGTGGCACTGTTACATTTCTTCTGCCTATACGCTTTCTATTGTTTTACGTCACATAATCCTGAAGAGATCCGAAAAACCGTAGCAAAAACTAGCAAGCGGGTGATTATGTATGTTCACGAAGTAAATATTATGTAAATAAACCCTACACTTCTCGCTATAAATGTAATCAAAACCCATTTAAATGCAGAAACTGATTGAAATTATTGATTTTCCCACTAAAAGTTAGAGAAATCTCGGCCATGTTTATACCAAAACGTTACATTTTCACATTATCTTGAAAAATCTTTGCAAGAAACGAACAAGCAAGTGAATATGTACATTCCCTGAGTAAATATTCTGGCAACAAACTATACATTTCTCACTAGAAATGTAATCAAAACTCGTTTTAATGCAAAAACAAACTCAAGTTATTAATCTTTCCACAAAAAAATGAGCGAATGTCGGCCATCTATATATATTTTTTTCCTCTCCCAGCTGGAATCTTGAAAGTCACGTGACTAGGACGTAAAACAATAGAAAGCGTATAGGCAGAAGAAATGTAACAGTGCCACAAAAAAATGGCCATTAATGTACCTCCACTACGTTTTGCAGTGTGGACCAACGTAGTGGGGGTACATTTTCCCATGAGACTGGGTTGACTTGTCAAGTGGAAGTAAAATAATGCAAGGTTTTAGCTTTATTAACAATTAAGAACTAAATCATAATTAAAATGCAGCAAAACAAACTTCTTTCAGAAATGAGCAAAATTAGTAAACAGCTGATTTGTTTGTAACTTAATGAGGTAAACTGAGGAAAAAAAAAAAAAAAAAAAAACAGCAGCATGATGATCCAGTAAAACAGCTGACAGTTCACAACAAGTTGGGGATGAGGAGTTGTACGCAGGGTTAGGAAAATCGAACAAATATGGCACAAATGGAAATGCAATAATGACTTTATGGTCCTAAACCAACAATCTGGACAAAACACAAAATGTTTAGAGCAGCAGAGAAGCCCATGGTACCAGGTGGGGGAATCTGTTTATAGGGCAGCTCAACATGCCTTTTATAGAGACTGATAAGAATACAATTCTTTCTTTCTGAAGTAGGCAAGCTTCATGTCAGGATATACCAACCGAACAGGGTTAATCACCATCAACACATGTAAATGCTGACATTTGCTGTAGTGTCATGCTCAGGAGATGATACTATGGCTGAAAAAAAAGCTTAAGTGAGTGGAGGTTTATCTACCACCAGGATAAGGCCAGGGTTTGAGGCTTCACGCATTCAAACTTACCGTTTATAAAAAAGTTATTGAAAAAAATAAAGCCAATCCTTGAAAATTGGCAAAACCTGGCAATTCTTTTCTTTTTTTTAGCCAACTTTTAATTTTAAGTGCAACAAAGCTCCCCAAGTCTGTAAAAAACAATAATTTTCCAGCTACTTTTGCTGGTCTTACACAAAAAATCCCATAAAAATGCGTTAATACCTGTGTTTAAAATGTTGCGAAATGTGCAACATCCAATAAAAGTTAGCAGGGCACTGTACTTTGGTTCAATGGCTTACTCCTTAGCTGGTTTGCCACTTCCTAACGCAGGTCACTGATGTCTCCAATAAGTATATTTAATATCCGTATTTCAAAGTAAGTTCAGAATCATTCACTTTGTAGAAACAAGGCAAACTTGAACCCTAACCTCAGTTTGTAACTAAATTGACAAAAGTGTTATACTGTATAAAGTATGTCAGCAGTTTTATGTGTGAGAGGAAGCACAATTGACCAAAGTAGAGGAATTTCAAAATGATGCACAAACCGGACTGCTGTGTTTGCTCTTTGATTTATGTACATGTCTAGTATTATTAAAAGTAATAAACTTGAATGGAGGTCATTTTGAATAGAAGAAGATAAGTGCTAATTAAGAGAAATTTGACCTTAAATTTCCAATATGGCTGCCAACCTGGATTATCAAAAAAAACAACACCACAATTAAAAGTGGTTTATTTTCTGGGATAAAAAAAATCCAAATCATTGCAGGGTTTCTTTTTTATGACCGAAACACCTGACACACTGCTTCATGGAGAGATATCCTACAGTTTGTGCACAGAGTAATCACATCCGTTGCAGTGCTTAACCAATTATTCAGGATGGTGTGCATATAACAATATACAGGAGAGACTTTGTTTCCTATACCATTTACTCTGCATAGAAACAGTAACATCATCTAATCATAAGTTTTTGGAAAATCATATCAGAAATCTAATGTTTTATATATTAAAATTCCAGAAGTCGCAAGCTTCTTGTTAAGCAAACAGTTATGATGAATAAATAAGCATTATTTATAAGGTTTCCTATAGATTCCCTTTGTAGTGATCAGAATTTAAATTAAAGTTTTCCTAATTTATGATTAATTTATATTTTTCTAAGTTTTATAGTCAAAAAAGTGAACGGAGTAATGCTCAAATTTTTCCAGCTGATGATTTTACTCCTGAGAAAAGAAATCTCTCTGAACAAATTAAAAAGTTTAATTGATTTTTTTCAAAGGTAAAAAATTAATTACATTAAGATCTACTTGAAAAGAAATACCTTTAAAGCTTTTTTCTTGCTCCAGTAACAAGTATGAACTTTTTGCTCTTTCATTTTGTCTTTCTAATTGTGCTTTAAAAGCAAAAAGGAAAAAATAAAATATAAAAAAAGTTTTTTTTTTTTTAAGAAACACTAAAGGTACAGTATCTAGCTTTTACTTATTCACAGATGCACTAAAATCAAATCTTTTCTTATACTTTAAGGGATATTGGTGGATAAATAACAAATCAGCAACTTTTCATAATTATTTAATTATCAAAACAAATGTTATGTTTCTCAAATCCTCCTAATTGAGATGGATGAAATCCCAGGTGAGCAGAACAATGTGAAAATTAAAAGGCATGAAAGCAGAGGGCTAAATAAAAAAACCACGAACAACAGGGACATTACATTTACAAACAAAACAGAAACTTCTTTTACCTTTTCGTAGTTTGGGTTCAGTACATTTATAATGGAGAAACGAAACTGAACGCAGACACTTTGATTGGTATTTTCATCTATAACCTTTATCTCTGAGCCTAAAATTATGGAAATGGACGCTGTGAAGATAAAACAGAGAGCAGTCTGTGAAGCGATTCTTTATTGGGTTATTTTATCAATGCACTGATTAAAAACATCACACCTCACAGCATAATCTACAAAGAAAACTAAAACACAAAAGTTTTTTGTTTAAACCAGGACTCACCATCAGCTTGAAGTTTCCAACCCACATTCACAACAGGAACAATCCCATCTAGGTCCATGCTGGTTTTTATTTTCACAGAATCCCACAGCGGGCCAGTGCAAGAATCCAGTGGAGGGACCTTATCCATGTCTAAGCAGTTGGCTGACATTGAAGAGTTTTATATGAAAATATACTACAGGAAGTTCCTCATAAAAATCTACACAGCACGGCTAACATTCATGGATTTTAAGCAAGCAAAGTTAGACCAAGGTGGATTATATACAGATAATGCAAAGATGCTTTTACTCACTATGATGCTGAAAAGAAAGTAATTCTTCATCTTTGGCTTTACAGCACTCCTAAAACTAAAGCTTTTAGGTCAAAACTGAATTTGTATTATTATTATTATTATTTGTAGATCCGTCTGCAAGGCATTAACCCTACAACATTTTTTGGCCCTTGACTTATTCCATCAAAGAGCATGAGTCATGATTCTGCCCTTTCTGAAATTTTTGGTTCTGTTTAAGTTTTCATTTTGGGTTCTCAGTAATGCTTCATTTTATGTTACTCTGTGTTTGTAAAGATTTATGCTATTTTCTAATTCTTAGTTTTACTCTCCCTTATTTCTTTCAGTTATCTGTTTTTAACATCTTTGGCATTATGTATTTATCGCTTTGCTTTTAGTTGTAGTCATTTGTTTTATTACATTTAGCTTCATTTAAATTCTTTCCCAGTTACATTTAGATCTGTCGTCCCTTCCCCCCCCTTAACTCCTTTTTTAGTTTTTCCAGTCCACACCTGCTCCCTATCAACTGATTAGCCCCACTGATCTTTATTCATTCACTGGATTGCTGATTGCCCGTTGTTTCTACGGGGTTGAGGTGAAGTCACCAGTTGCCACTCTTGGTACTCCCTAGTTAGACAGGTCACAATGTAAACAATAACTGCGTTACAGCATCAAATAACAATGATTTTCTTAAATAAAGATAAATTCATGACTTTGACACACACTTGCTGTTTCACTAAATAAGTAGAGTACTTTAACTTACTTTAACTAGGCACATCACATTGCATTGTCATTATGAAGTCAATGAAGTCTATAAATTATGTAACATGACATATCATACAAACCCATCACAACAAAATGAATGTGTTGATGGAGCATAATAATACACATGTGCCGAAAGTGCTTGATTGATGATGTACATGTAATAGACATGTATTGATTACATTGTTGTGGTACGGTAATTACATATTAGGCATGATTTCAAGATTTTACATCAAGACTGAATTACCAGTACATGTCTGTTAATGCTATAGAATTTTTCTATTTTGCAAATTGTGCATGCATAATGCTATATACTTTTATGCTGTGCCTGTGCATTTGTTAGGACTCCAGTCTGTGTAGTCTGTGCTTTTGTGTGTTTGTCTTCCTTCCTCCACCAGGCGGCACCTGGTTCTGATTCTCCTCCTCACACACCTGCAAGGGGTTACCTCGTTAACGGAGTGCTCTTAAGCTGCTGATTGCCACTACCTCGATGCCAGAGTGTTTGCGAGTTTTGGGTACTCTAGCCAAGCTGAGTTTTGCTGAGTCAAACTGAGTCTTTGTCAACCTGAGTCTTAACATTGTTGTCTTTTTTGTTTTTGCCTCTCGACAGGAAATCATCCTGCAAACTGGATTTTCGGACCTTCTCTCCCTGGAAGGATCTACTGAGCTTCATACTGAGCTGGGGATACAAACTCGAGGTTTGGATCCACTTTCCCCCGAGGAATTCATCCCAAAGGATTCATCTGCACCACGGTCCGTTCAAGTACCGCAGGAAAACATAGTGGCAATCAGTCTTCTCCGTTCATCTACAAGCAACCGCATTCTGGGTAACCCTGTCCGCCCTGCACCGTATGAGACAAATACCGGAACACATTCCTCACCTACTGGAGTCTAAGAGTCAACCAATTCTCTGGAAACGTGAGTCTGCCTACCTTTCTTCCTCTTCAAGTTCAAGAATCAATTTTCCCACTGAACCTGAACTAAACGCAGTGTCTTCCCCTCACATTTTAGTTCCGGTTAAGCGGTGATCAGAGCAACACTGGAATCTCCACAAAACTTCTCAATAAAACCTGTTAAACTTTTCCCCTTGTCTCTCTGGATTGTTTATCTGCATGTGGGTCCGAGCTCTTGACTAAATCATGACAGCGTTAGCCTTTAAAAGTGTTCGAGTTGCTTTTTTCTCATCAATATAACATGCAATATATTTCAGCACATGACTTTTTCAAATTAAATATACAACAAACACTCAAAATACAACAGTATCATCAATTTAATCAAAAACTACTACATTGATATTTCACAGTGAATTATTTTCTATTTACTCTACCTTATATTTTCTAATGTTAGACACAATGACAGTGGCTAACTCCGCCAATGTCTTCGAGTCAGTCTGAGATAGCCAGACTAATGTTACGCTACATACTATACTATGGGATACATTGGTGTATATATGGATTTTCTTGGTTAGTACATCGACTGAGTGTGAAATTACACGTGAAACGTCTTCCCACACCAACAAACTGCTTTTTTTTTGCAGCCAAATGCTACATACATAGGCATTTTTACTGTGTATCTCAGTGGGAGAAGGTTTCACTTTTTTTCGGGCTATCAGCAATCCAGGGAATAAATAGAGATCAGTGATAAGCCCATTCGTTGTTTCTTCCTGTCATATATGTACTTCCTTTGCTATTCGTATTTGCTGGATTCTCTTCATTTTGTATCTATGTTCTACCCAAGTGTCTCCTCATTTTGGTTTCAAAGTTCCCTGCCTGTTCAGTCTGGACTTATGCTTCTGTTGGTTCCAACAGACCATGGCCAGAGATGGCAAAAGTACTCACTTTCCGTACTTAAGTAAAAGTACAGATACTTGTGTTAAAAAGTACTCTGGTAAAAGTGGAAGTACTGATTAAACTTCTTTAATCAAGTAAAAGTAACAAAGTACAGGCTTGTAAATTTACTTAAAGTATAAAAGTAAAAGTAGAAACCACTTTTTTCATGCCGTTGCCTACATTTTAAATGGATGTCTGCCAATAGGACTAGATCTCCGTTGTGTTCATTTTCAATCATCTCGTCATCCATACTACTATGCTAACGCCACCGCCACCAAGCTGCAATGATTTGCCGCGAATGAATACGGCCGAATCTGTCGATTCATCTTGTAGTGGTGCGTCAAATGCAACGTAGATTCTCATCCAATTAGATTGAATTTGGTATTGATGACGTGAAAAATAATAACGGTAACTCCATTGAAATGATTCAAAACTAAAGTAACGAGCCAATTTTTAAAAATGTAAGGAGTAGAAAGTACAGATATTTGTGTAAAAATGTAAGGAGTAGAAGTAAAAAGTCGCCATAAAAATAAGTAGTAAAGTAAAGTAAAAATATCAGAAAAATATACTTGAGTACAGTAATGAAGTATTTGTACTTCGTTACTTCCCATCTCTGACCATGGCACATGTTCCCAGAGAATTCTGGGAGATTTTAACAACCTGTTTTCTTTGGTAGAACCTTCATCTTTTAAATCTAATCCTCAGTCCGACTGGAAGACAATGCAGGAGCATAATGTTCCTGAAGCTCCTGCTCACTCAGTCTATCTCATGGCGGCCTTACCGAGAAGTTCCACTTTTGTTTTTCACCAAGTCTGGAAAAATCTGCAGTTTTAATCATGTCTCTGTTGTCGACATCTTCTCCAACTATTAGTGAAATATTGGTCTTCACAGCTATGGCAACATAGAACAGTCAAATCTTTTTGGTGTCTTTCTCCTGATAAATAACTTTGTTTGATAAGAACCATTTAAACTTTTTTACGATTTTTACAACTTAACACAAACCCTTGGACAGTTTTTCCATGGCAATGGATTTTTTTTGTTTTTACTGAGTAAGTCATATTATATATTAAAAAGGAAAAGTGTTTGTCATCTTTCTAAATCATGTTTCATTTTAACAACAGTGTGTGACCGTGTCAGAGCCACTGGCCCTTTAAGTGACAAATTTGTGAAACATGAAAGAAGTTTTATGAAAACTATTTACTTAAATAGTTCATTATCGTGTTTTTTTCCTCTGTATTATAAACATATATAAAAATTACTGAGCGCCATCATGTACAGAAATAGTTAATTTGCACAGGAAGAGTGTCTTTTGCCCTTTAAATCAAACACTGGACCACGAGCAAAGGGATTAAATTGGATATGCACTTTGTATACATATATGTCAATATATATCAATATATATACAGTATATATATCAATATATATATATATATATATATATATATATATATATATATATATATATATATATATATATATATATATATATATATATATATATATATATATAAATATATAATCTTTTTTCTCTCTTTGGCTCATTTGAAATAGTTTAAAACAGAAAAAAATGTTTCCTAGAAAGGATAATTTGAGGAACAAATCTTTGTAACCCTTTAAACATATTGAAAGATATATTATACTTACAAATTTTGCAATTGCTAAGGCCCTGTAAATGCAAAGGATTCAACAAAGAAAAAAAATACATGACTTCAATAAATTTTTGCTTATATGAGTAAAATTACAAGCTTAATTTAAAGTCAAGACTTGAATTTTTGAATTTTACCGTTTGATTGCAGAGAAAGTTCAAAATCCTTAGAGATGAGGTTGTTGATGCTGTGGGTCCAACCAGCAAACTGAAAATGAACAAAGACAAAATAATCATCATAGCGTAGATCATGTTACTTTCCAACACTTGGTAAAAAGAAAATGATCAAAACATTTGGGCTGCTGCAGATGTTTATATGATCAGTTCTAGAAAGTTAAATAATCATTCGAGCAGGATTGGAGCTCAGTTGTCTGCCTTTAGTCTGAATTGTCTGATTTTTATCAGGTTCTTACTTCTGAGTAACACAGGAAGAAGGCGTTCTCTTCTGTGGTTCTTCACTGTTACAGAGAAGAAAACATAATACAGAAACATGGTCGTCATTATTTATTGTGACGTTTTCTCAGTGAAGAGTGTGAGGTGTGTAAATTAGTCCCAGTGGCACATTTACCTCTCACATCATTTTAGAGGCCACTAGAGAGCAGTAACTGACACTTTTTTTATTTTTTTTACTGTTCTTTTATCTTTGGTCACAACCCATCCAGGTTTATTTGCTTGAAAACAAATCATTCAGACTAACTTCAACCAGCAAAATGAGATAAACAGAATAACTGATTTCAGAAGATTGGTAAAGAAAATATTCAATTTGAACATATACATTTTTTTACATTTCGTCATTAAATGCCACAAGCTTCGATGTACTTAAATGGGATATAATGTAAAACACAAAGTACTGTAAATTTCTATAGTAGGGTTAGATTATCTAATTGGATTATCAGCATCTAACTCTGCTTTGAGTCACAGTGTGACTCAAAGTACTGTGACTGCATGAGCTGCAAAAATCGACATCTAGTGAAAAAGATGGTGCCAAAGAAGGGCTTCAGGATGACAGGAAATCTGAACACAAGTGTTTGGTGGATTTTTTTATTTATTTATATTAATTTATTGTTAGAGAACATTGCATATTAGTATAGCATTACAATAAATACATTTTGACAGAAATTTGCCAAAAGGATTCTCGTTCTTCTCGTCTTCCCACGATTGATTCATTGCAGGATTGATACCAGATAAGTAGTTTATCCAGATTCATTGAAAAATGTTGCCTCTAAACGGCATTTGAACTTGTTGATCTTAACTTTATTTTGACTTCCTTTACCTTTTTATGTTTCTTTCAATAGGGGTCTCAAATTGAAGGCATTCACTTCCTGAATGCAAGACGTTTAACTTGCTAAAACATATTGCAATCCAGGCAGTTCTTTGCTGTATGCATAATGCTCAAACTGATATTACGATTCTGTTTATTTTTGGAAAATATTGCACCTGTTCTTCTCTACACAAATATTTTCTTTAGTAGAGAAAGGTTAGAAGGAAATAATTGTAAAAATAGAACAAAAAAATAGAAACAGTTACCCGCCTTTTTTCCTTTAAAGAATATCTGTGACTCCCTTTAAATATTCTGTTTTGTTTTATAATTAAAAAGCACTTGTATTTCAGTTTACATGTTAGGTTGCATAGATAAAGACACTTAATATTTTGGCAGAGAGGGAATTAAGCTTGAAATAAGTTCAATTTGAACAGGCACAAATGCAGCAAGGGTTCCTAAGAGTCAGTTTTGGGAACATGTGTAACTTAGTGGACCGTTGTAAAGCATGTCAGACTTATGTATGCCTGCTCGTATGTTAATGTGTGCATTTATAACCAATGCATGAATTGACATCTCCATCATTCCAGTGTGCAACATCTGCAAAAGCTATGCAGTGATTTAACACTTGTCCTTTTCCCTGGTCTGAGTTTACTGGAGGATGGATGGAGCTAAACAGAAAACTCATTAGAACCTTTTAATTACATTTAAATTACATTGGCCCAGTCAAAGTCCAGACCAGGGTTATTATTGCTATCGTTAGCTAAAAAAGAAATACAAAAAAGATGAATAATGAAAAAAGTTGTTAACTGAAATACGAAAAAAAAACCGACCTTGCAAACAAACAAAAACTAAAAACTATCTGAAACTGTAAGAGTTTTTCAAAACTAATTAAAGCAAACAAATTTTTAAGAAAGAAAGTGTTGGTTTTTTATATGTGTCTTTATCATAATGAGGTCTAGTTTTCGGTTGCAATTTTTGCTTTTTTTCTCCACTCTACTGCATTACATCAGCAGAAGGCAAGTAGGGAAGTGTTGCTGCAGTGGTCCATCTTTATCTGGGATTTTATTCCTATTTTTTTTTTCATTCTTTTTAATCTTTTCCCTGGTATGTATGTCATATTACATAAAAGGCTAAAAGCATTACTGACACTAATAAAAACTAAGCTCAAGGTAAGCATTTTCAAAAAAAAAACTAAACTAAACCAGCTAACAAATAGGCTACTAAAGATGGATTAAAACTAAAGTAGAATTGACAATCAGAGGTCAAAACTAAGCAAACCTCGGTCCTAAATCCTAAATCCACTCGAAAATAGATGCCAAGAAGTGTTTATTCAAGCTAAAGAAAAGGATAGAGACAATTTTTAATTGCAGCAAAGGCGATCTGAAAAATTCTTTGATCAGGGGGACTGAATGCAAAATAATAAAAGTAAATAAAAAGACAAAAATGTCCATTTGAAAATCTTTTACCAACTTTCTGTTGAAGATTGTCCTATGGTCAAAAAAAGAACTCTGTATTTGTAAAGTGGCAGATGTGATAAAAATCAGTGGGTGCAAATGACTTTGCAAGGCTCAATAAAGAGGATAGAGATGTAGCTGTGGTAGTGTTAATTCTTATCGGGTTTTCTCAGGGTTATCCTGTGTCCTAACCCACATTAAGGTCAGATCTATCAGTTTACATGCCAACAGACAGGCAGGTCTTTTGAACCCCTTCTAGAATAGCAATTATGGATGGTATCCCTCTATACAAATGGGGATCAAACGTAATAACCAGTTATAAAATAAACAATAATACAGTTAAATAAATGCAGGGTTTCTGGATAAGCATGACCTCATTCATTATTTATTACCTTTATATAATTTATTTAATGCTGCTAACTAATAAACAGCTTCAGTCTTCATCCACTGCTTCACATTAATAATCATCTGTACCTTATATTGTATTACCAACATTAAAAGCTTCCTTAGAACAACAAGCCTTTCAAACTGTCCTCTGGCCTCTGCTCGGCAACACCAGGCCGTTTAAAAGCAACGCATGCTCCGAGTTCATGGCTTCTGGAAAGAGAGGAGCTCAGCTGTCATCGCAGAGACGTGTGAGGTGTGTCCTTGTTGAGACAATCACATGAAATAAATGGGTCACGGGTTGAGGGCAAATCAAAAAGGCATTGCGTATTGTGATGTGGGGAACTGTCAGGTGGATGGGGGTCTATTTTAATGAGCCAATAGCATGATTGCTTTGAATACATACAACTTTCACTATTTATCTTAAAGTGCTTTTCCTTTACGTGACCTAGAGCTAAACTGCTGGCCTGTCCCTGTTTCTCTCACCGTCAAGGTAAGAGCAGCAATCATTGACATTTATCAGTAGCAAATAAAAGTCAGGATTATTGTGAACTCTGCATGGAAATCTACAACTGGCATTGCAGGACAGTGATAATGGAGCTAAGGCAGTGGCAGCAGCCCAGGCATCTACGTAAGAGGATCTACAATATTTGTCTGGGTCAAGGGAAGTCTAACTTTGCTTAAATAATGAAGGCTGCATTCCCTGAAACTTACACTGCTCTGGTATTTATGTTCGTGAGGCACGGCCAGGTCGTTACTTTTGTCAAGGTCTTTATGTGACTTTTTGAAGATGGCAGCCTCCTCTTGACTTTCACCTCAACCTTCTTGGTACATTCTTGATCGCCTAAGTTAGCAAGTGCAATATGAGACTAACAAAATTTTAGTTAGTGATAGGTCAGCTGATAATGGTTAACGCTTATAAAATGGTTGGCAAGCTGCAGACTATCTAAAGAGCAAGCTGATCTTAAATACTTTGTTCTTTGCTGAAACTTTGCCTTCACTTCTGAAATTTAATTTACAAGAACAGACAGAAAAAAAATGTGACAGAATATATATTTAGTTGCTCGGGCAGTTCAGTTTATTGTTGTTCATTCGTACCTTGTTTGGAGTCATCAAAGCAACAGAAGCATGCAGCACTCAGGAAAGAATGGCTGTAATGTAGCCAAATATAGCTGTGCAACAGGCTCCACCCCAGCGCTTTTTAACAAGTGTACAAAAGAAGTACCTAAATAAGAAGAAAAAACATGTTTTAAAGATGACCGAGATTAAATAATTGAGTAAAAGTTAACTCACATGGAATACCAAAAACATCAGGACCATTAGAAACTGCTCCAACTGAGTAATAATGTTGTGAAGTTAATATTATTGGTTAAACAGTTTGTTTCTTCTTAGGAAAGATACGCTGCTGTGATGTCTGAGGGGTGAGTAATGCCATAGTTTTTCCACAATGCATCATACTGTTATGCATAAAATAAAATAAGAAGCTGTCAAATGTATGCCACACAATAAATAAAAGTTTTAACCTGTATCCAGGAAGCTTTTTTAATTCAAAATGTCAGGAATAGCGTTGAGTTTGAGGTTTTATACAGTAGCCCATCTAAACCTCAAACTCAACGCTATTCCTGACATTTTGAATTGAAAAAGCTTCCTTGATGGGAAGCGAAATGTCTTCAAACTTGGAAACAAAAGAAAATTAAACAAAGTTAATTTTCTTTTTTTAGAATGACTATGACCTGGATGACTGAGAATCCTCACCAGCATAAAATACAGAGTCTTAACTAAAAAATAAGGTCTTTTGCAAAGCACCCACAACCTTTTTAAAATGCAATACAATATTCTGTTCAGTTCACATAAAAAATTATGTGAGAAAAAAACATAATATTGGAATAAACTCAAAGTAGAAACTGCAATTTGTTTGAGCAACATTTCATTGAAGAACACATCAGATGCAGAATTATTATGACAAGATTCTTTAAGCTAAAACTATTTTCAGTTGTCACAAAAGAATTTTTCACAATAGTTAATGAGAATATCGGAAAAATACCAACAAAGCTGCCGGAAAAAACAACAGGAATTAGTTTAGACCTGCATATTACAACAATCTCCTGCATTTTTTGACATATTTTGATAAAAATTGCCCTAAAAATGTTTTATGGTCTGATTAAACCAAGCTGGAACTCAAGTATGGGAAGGTTGAGGTGCTAAAAAGTTTTATAACTTCTTCTCACTTAAAAATACCAGACAAATAACAGTCATCATGTCCTAATACAAGCTTTTGGTACCCAACTAAAACTAATACAATTTTTTTATTTTCTGGTTCAATCAAAATTGTTGATAATATCTGATTTGTTTGTGAAAAAATAAAGCAAATCTACAATTTTAGACCCCCACTACAGTACCTCTATTCACCACTAGGGGGTAGACTCCATGGCAAAGACTTATGCTATAAATTTCAGAAACTTGCACTGAAGAGACAGCTAATAGTTATAATAATATATGGCATGCTGGCAGAAACAAACCAAAGAAGACTTAATGCTGAAACAAAAATACAAGGTCCTAAAACAAAATACTGACTTTTTATTGTTTTCCTCACTATAATTGTTACAGGAGAAGTTTTGCATTTTTTGGGACAGGTTTTCAAATGGTGAATCATTGTCTGTTTCTTTGCATCACAAACCTCTAATACTTTAATAAGGGTTACAACCATATTAGAGACCCACTGTGAATTGAGCACCACTTTTGCCATCTGTTTTTTTTTTATTATTATTATTATTGTTTTACTACATGTTTCATATGTCATTTTTCGATGGAAATAATCTTTGGTTTATCTTGTTCTATTTTTTGTTGTTCCATGATGATAAAGCCCGGTGAGTCAAACTGTTATATAAAATAAAACACACAAAAATTCCAATAAAAAATTCCAGTCATGATAAATCACGCAGAAATTACCATGTTTTTTTTTCCCACAGAGAAAGCCAAAAAGAAAATTTGCAGCAACACGTCGGCTGCTAATAAAAGTAAGTGGTGTAGCTCTACACCCCATAAGTAGTTTTCCTAAGCAGATACCAGATGCACTGATTTAATTTCAGGTGTACAAATAGCATCGAGATAAATGCATTTAAAAAAGAAATCAGTATAAAGTGTCTGTGTATTTGCTACTTGTCTGAATTTATTTTAGCTTCAGCTATAGTAGTTATGTGGAAAAGGTGCAGCAGAGTTATGTGCATCCAATTTTACAAATCCTGGCCTATTCTATTGCCCAGAACTTGCAAAATTGTATTATAATCTGTGCAAATCATGCTGTTGGAATAACTATGGAGTTTTATTGTCACATTATTCTAAATCTGGCTTGCATTTCAATGGAGCACTCATGCAAATGAAGATGTCATGGTGAATCTCAGGCTATTCTTGGCCACCTTAGTTTAATAGTGCATCATAGCTGGAACATTTTATACATTCTACATATCTGCTACTGCTACACAATCAACTAAAGTGTTTCATAAGCTATTTGACCCTGCAACATCAAGACATTGTCTGCACTTCAGACGTCAGGTCTTACCTTGGGATAATAATACTTTCTGATCATTTCAGAAAGTGTGACTACTTGGAATAATTCATAGTATAGAGCACTGAACTTCCATCTCCAGATCATCAAGTGTGAAAAAAATTAACAAGACAATATGTATGTTACATTCTTCATCCTAATATGTATCCCAAACAGAAAAAGTAAACAATAAAATACTATCTATATAAAAAAGACAACATTTGTATTTTATTTTTTAACAACAATAGCCTTTTTACACATGTTCAGATATGTGTAATGAGTACTAAGAAATATTCATGTTGATTTTTCTTTATATTTGAGAATGAAAATGTTAAAAATATGTTAATGCTAACTATGGGATAAGTAAATAAAAAAATATGAATTTTTAAAAAAAGGACCTTTTAAAAATGTTCTGTAAAATGTAATATTGCCATATTCATTTACTTTAAATTGCCTAAAATTATAGAGAAACATATGATGAGGTGGTTCAGTTTTGAAAACCTGCTGAAATAATGTTTTTTTGTAAAGATTTATCTAAACATCAATGGTCAGATATGCACATTATTATTAAACAGAGGATATGTTTAGCATAAGACAAGTATTGGATTTTTAAAGAAAGTAATTTATATGAACTGTAAAGCACAGAGGTGTGAGTGTCGTGATGTTAAGAGGCTTTGCTGATGCAGGGTCAGCTAAGCCTCACCATCAGAGGTGCCACCATGAACTCCACAATTATAACATGTATATTACGGAGGATGAGCAGTGCCACAATGCAATAAATAAATTACTTATCAGATAAATATTATATGTCAAAAATACATAAAAATTGGAAATAAATACATAACTACGTTGACAAATAAATATATATTAAATATATACTTTTTATTAAGAAGTAAAAGTATTTATTGCACACATGAATACATTTAAGCTCCTGCACAAAGAGGCGGGACTAGAACTGAAGAACATCTGATTGGTTGCTTCTTACTAAGCAAGATAAGACAACTTCTACCTGTTCTTCATTTTACTGTAAAGTAAATGTTGCAGCACATTAAATGATCAAATCCTGCCAAATAATTTGATGACACATGCTGTATCAATAAATACTTTTTAACTCCTTTATTTATTGGGGCACTCGTCACTCTCCATAGACTGATGTGGCTTGAGAAAAATGCAAGAACAAAAAGAAAAATGCCTTCTGAACAAAGAAAGTCTGAAGCTAAAAAATGCACCACAATTTGACAAAATCTAGGTTTCTGCAATCTATGTCCAGAAAGCATTTTTCTGACCCAGAAAAAAAGGTATTTTCTGTTAGTTCTAGTCTTCAAAATTTAAACCTAACTACCAATTAGTAATTTAATTTTATCACAAGCAATAAACACACTTTCTAAATTACTCTAAATAGAAAAACTGTCAGCAGATAGGCAAAATGGGACTTGCACCTGACTGAGATAAACTGTTCACATCTAGAATATCATTAGTGTTTTAGATAATGTCTAAAACATTTGTTTGATAGCATCTCACCAACAATGTTCTACATATAATTTTAGGGCCCTATATGTATATAAAAATAATTGCAAACCCTGATTATATCTACCAGCTTTCGATTACTGCTTCATTGTGTTTCAGGGCAAGCTACTGAAGAAGGCAGAATTGATGCTGGTTGCTGAAAATGAAGAAAAAGAAATGGAGAAGGAAAGAGTTGTGAACGAGAGTGTTCCTCCTCTAAAGCTGTCAGGCCTCTCAGTCCAGGAGCTCCAGGTACTGTAGAGGAAAATAAGAAGTCACGCATCACTACTTGACATCCTTTCGACCGTGTTCTTTTCATTTTTACAGGATCTTTGCAAAGAGTTGCACCAGAAGCTTGATGTTGTTGACGAGCTGCGTTATGACATGCAAGCTAAAGTCAACAAAAATGAAAATGAGGTACAAAAGATTTGAATCAGGGCTTAAATGTCAGTCATGTATGGAGATGTTGTTATCTTTCATAAACTGGATCTTTTGCACAGATTGTGTCACTGAAGCAGAAGATCATCGAGTTGAAAGGTATGAAGAAGCCCAGCCTGAAGAGGGTAAAGAAAACCACAGATGACGTGCTGGGTGCATACACGGATGCCTCCAAACTCAAGAAGGCTGACTTTAAAGCCAACCTCAAGACAGTGAAAAAAGAAGACGATAAGGTAAAAAGGAAAATTCCGCTCAAATATAAAGACGGACAGTTTACTAAATTGTTTACCATCGTTTGCATTTTTGTTTTGTTTTTATTCTAACAGAAGGAAGAAGTGACTGACTGGCGTAAGAATGTGGAGGCCCTGTCTGGCATGGAGGGCAGGAAGAAGCTTTTCACTGCAGGACAATGAAAAAAACCACACATAGTTTAAAGTTATTGCTTGTATTTCCCAAATACTGACGTTACAGATTGCATTTGTTGAGCTTATTTCTTTGAATTATACCAAAATTACTGTTTAAAAGGATGAATTTCATGCTGAAATGAAGTGATTGCAACAATTAATAATTATGATTTAATGTAAATGATGCTAACTGAATTACTATTTAATGCAATTTTGCAAAAGGATTTAAAAAAATGTTTTATGCTTTGAAAGTGTAGTGTTTGTAGTGGACAGAAGATGGTGCTGTTGCTCTATTTGTAATACACGTTAAGCTGAATAAATCACCTTGACCAAATGGATGAATCATCACTCTTTTTTTTTTTTATAATATTTTTCGTTTTTAAAAGATTTAAGACAGACAGAACCTTCCTCCATCACCACCAACAGTCCATATAGCTTTTTTTTTTTTAAATCTTAGTCACCCATAACTGCACACAATTTAAAGTTTCAAGACACAACGATCACTTACTGTTCAAAAATTATGTACTTACCTCTTTCAAAGCAACATCAACAACCATATGGGGGGGGGGGGAAATGGAAAAAGCATCTAACTTCCTCACTCTGAGATTACTTTGTGCAACAGTGCAGAGGTGAACCTGGCATAGGGAGATGGGAGAGAAGTGATATACAGTTTGCTGGCAGTCAGGACAGAAGACGCTATTTTGGTTGGCCACTCACAGAAGGCAATAGGAGCTATTAAAATTGAGACTTGAGTTTAGTTCTGGTCATTTAAAGTCAGAGACATATCATACCAACACTTTTTCTGTGGAGATTAAAGCAAAGGTACGTTTTGCATCCGTGATGATAATTTGGCATAGTTCTTATGTTTTATAATATAAATACATGTGTCTTGGTATGATATCATACTTATAAAAAGTATGAGTTTTATTGGATTATGATTGCATATTAAAGAGAAATAATTAATGCAACTATGATGATTTTAAACCAAAAAGATGTATTTTAGCTAGTTTTGTGAGTTTTTAACAAACGATTGCCAAGTTTTATTGTTCTTTTACTTGTTTAGCTTTTAAAGCTTGCTCCATGTTAATTTTTTATATTTAGAAAAAAATCATTCTGAATATAAATTTTAAAAGGACTGCTTTCTAGTTGGAGGGAGTCCAAATAGGATTAAAAGAGGAATATCATCCCAACTATCCACAGCACTTGGGCATGAAGTGTTAATAATTTAGAGGCTCAGTGTTGGTATGTTGCAGTTCCAAGGTCTGGACGAATAGCCTGAGCAAATCTAATGTGAATAAAATGTATGGTAATGGCAGAAAAATGGATAAAAATGCAATATTAACAAAAAAGAAAGCTGTGTTTATGTAAAATATAATGAATATAAAACATAATGATGGAAATACAATCTTTTAACAGGAACAAAAGACATGTCTGAGGCGTAAGTTCTACCTTTTTCAATTCACTTGAATTTATTTTATCATGTTTTCACAAATTATTGCATTCATATATTTAATAAATTTGAAATCTTCAGCACTAAATCTCTCCTTTCTTTAATATATTTCATCTGATAATGTCCAACACAGACCGGTAAGATTTTTCTACATTTGTTGCAGCTAATATGAAACCTGATTAATCATTTTCTTCTAAATACATGTTTTATTTTCATTTTAAGAAAAAATCAAAGATCTCTGCATCTCGAAGACTCTTTCTTAAGGTAGCTTCTACTCTTTTGAAGAGCCTTTTCTATTTAAATGCGGGGATTATTTCATTAAAATGTTTTATACATGACAGACCAAGCTGCTGAAAACAGCAGCTGCAATGTTGGAGAAGTGGAAGGAGGAGAGGAAGGCGCAGAAAGAAATTACTCTGACGGAAAAAGTTCCTCCTCTGGAGCTCTCTGGTTTGTCTCTTCAGGATCTTCAGGTGAGCTTATGTAAAAATTTGTATTCTAAAGTTTTCAAATGTTGTTAGAAAGTATTTGATTTCTTGATACACAGAAGGCACTTTTTGTGTTTATCAGCGGGTTTCCTCTTGTATCTATTTAGAAATATGCTTAAAGCAGCATAGGCTGTATTACGATGCTCTATGTTCAATGAGACAAAAGAATGTTAGGCTATTATTTTGCTCAAAGAAGTTACTGATCTATGTATGTTTATCTGCAGGCTTTGTGCAAAGATCTGCACCGCAAGATAGATGTGGCAGATGAGGAGCGCTACGACATTGACCTTAAGGTGTCCAAAAACATCAAGGAGGTCTGGATTCATTCCTTTGGTTTTATTTAATTCATATATCAATTGAATCTTTTTTAATCTTACTTCAGATTTTACTGATTATAAGTACCTCAGCATAATTATCTAATTTTACTTCTTATCCGTCTGGTATCAGCTGACTAAATGCGAAATGTTGGAAAGATCATTGTTTGCTTTTTGAATATTTCCATAGATTGAAGATCTAAACCGGAAGGTATTTGAGCTAAAGGGTAAGATGAAGCGACCTGCTCTCAAGAGAGTGAAGATCTCTGCAGACGCCATGCTGGGAGCTCTGTTAGGCTCAAAGGTTAAAGAGTCTGTGGACTTTAAGGCCAACCTGAAGACTGTGAAGAAAGAGGAGGAAAAGGTAAATACCTCAACTCCAACCACAAAGTATATTTTCTGTTATATGAAAAGATCAGAATACCACAACAACGATTCAGTTCATTTTTTTTTTTTAATTTATTATAAGTTTTAACACAGACAGCTTTTAACACAGATGCTTTGAAGCCGCAGCTCCCCGTCTGTGGAATGCGCTCCCAGACCACCTTAGGGCCCAACAGACGGTGGACTGTTTTAGAAAAGGATTGAAAACTTTCCTTTTTAGAAATGCTTTCAATTGCTACGGAGAGGATTAGGTCCACTGAAAAAAAAAAAATAATAACTGATTTTTTGTATTTTATTTCAGTATAGTATGGGAAGAAAGTCAGAATTCTGACTTTAATCTCAGAATTCTGACTTTTTTCTCAGAATTCTGAGATTAAAGTCAGAATTCTGACTTTTTTCTCAGAATTCTGACTTTTCTCAGAATTCTGACTTTTTTTCTCAGAATTCTGACTTTTTATATTGTCAGAATTCAGTCAGAATTCTGAGATTAAAGTCAGAATTCTGAAAAAAAAAGTCAGAATTCTGAGATTAAAGTCAGAATTCTGAGATTAAAGTCAGAATTCTGGAAAAAAAAATGTCAGAATTCTGAGAAAAAAAGTCAGAATTCTGACTTTTTTCCTATGTTAAACTGAAATAAAATTTAAAAATCAGTTAACTTTTTTTATTCCAGTGGTCCTAATCCTCTTCAGTAAATTGCTGATTTTTAGATTTTTTTTAATAGGCTACGTATGCCTTCAAATGTATTGATTTTAATGATTGTCTTTTACTCTGTTTTTAATGTTTTGGTCTTTTAATCTTTGTTTTAATTTTCCCTTTTTTGAACTGTAGCACTTTGAGATTTCAATTCAAATGTAAAGTGCGTTACAGATAAAATGTATTATTATTATTATAGTCTGACATTTTTCCTCAAGTTTACTTCTGATAAATAGATTTAGTCGGTATCTCTATGATGTTGAGCCTATCAGAGTTATGCTTTACCAAAACGTCACCAAATGATAGTCTTTTTAACTGTGTGCTTTACAGCTGGGTTTGGATTATTTTACTTTAATTCTGTATTTGGTATTAATATATTTTCTACTGATGTTTAATAAAAAAACAAAAACAAACTACTTATGTCTAATTTTCAAAAGATTCAGTCTTAGACTAATAGATTCAATTCCAAACAACATTATTCTAGTAGTCTTGAGGCCTTATGCGGAAAACAATGTGCAGCTTTCAAGCTAAAATGAGGAGAGTCATTTTAAAACTTACAGCGAACCAAAAAATGAAATTAGATCTAGGAAACCGAGTATTTAGTTTCTGTTCATCCCTCCTTGTAACATTAATTTGTTTAGAAGCAGGTGCAGCTGCAGGTTCCGCCTCAGCCAGAGGGTCTTCAGTTATTTTGAATATCAGATGTTAATGTCAGAGGTGGATGAAAAAGAAAATGTGTTTTACATCTTTATGTTCAAATATTTTAGAATGAATACTATCATAGGGTGTCCTAACGTTCACATGACTGTATGTTTTATAGTTAGTTGAATGTTGTTAATAATGCTAAGAGTTATTTTCTTTGCCTAATCAGAAGGAGGAAGTGACAGACTGGAGGAAGAACGTGGAGGCCATGTCGGGAATGGAAGGAAGGAAGAAGCTTTTCAATGCCAACCCGTAGATTTATATTCGTGGACATTTTGAGAATAAATGCAGTTTTACAGGGAAAAAGAAAAAGAACTACATATTTTTGGTGAATAAAAATGACAGTAAGTTTTGTGTTAGATTTCGTTGCACTGTTATCTTTTGCACTACTTGCACTTGTAAGACTTTCAAACTGCTCATATGTCCACCGTAACTGTTTCATTGATCATAAAAAGGCTGAAAATATTAATGTTAATAAAATCTAGTGAAAACTAAAAGCTGATGTTTTTATTTTTCATTCTTATGCAGATTTTACAAGAATGCCAATAAATAGGTGCTCATATAAATGGCCGTAAAATCATACGGATGCTTTTCAGCAAACACTGAGATGGCTAAAAGAAGAAGCAAACCACACCTGCAAACCATGCAAATCCTAAACGTCACTGCAGCAAAGTTACTGTAGCGCCACTCCAGCTCCTTTAGTTTCTTCTGTACCGCATGGAAAAACAGTCTAGCAACAAGTATTGAAACGCGAGCAATTCCAGATAATGTTTTTCAACTTGTGATGTTTATTTAAAGAAAACAAAAATAAGAGAACATCCACATTCACACAATATAAACTCGGTCAAAAACTGCGTTGCTTCCAGCATATCTGTTTTCCCCTCAGTCCTTACGTACAGTACGTAAAAGCAAAGAAAAAAAAAACACATATACAATTACAGCATGCAGGAAGCCCACAAATATGCATTTCAAATTGCATT